CTGTTTAAAATATGAACTTGATAGTATGTCTAGTTATGGAGGTATTGTAGATAATTTGTTAGCAGACTATTTATTTTTAGAGTTTTTTTATATTCTTTTAAATTTTTCTTACTCTTTGACGGCTTGCGATAAATTGACAGTACCATTATTATATATAGATATGTCAAGACTTATTGTGTTTAAAATATGAACTTGATAGTATGTCTAGTTATGGAGGTATTGTTAGCAGACTTTTTATTTTTAGAGTTTTTTATATTCTTTTAATTTTTTCTTACTCTTTGACGGCTTGCGATAAATTGACAGTACCATTATTATATATAGATATGTCAAGACTTATTGTGTTTAAAATATGAACTTGATAGTATGTCTAGTTATGGAGGTATTGTTAGCAGACTTTTTATTTTTAGAGTTTTTTAAATTCTTTTAATTTTTTTTACTCTTTGACGGCTTGCGATGAATTGACAGTAACACTATTATATATAGATATGTCAAGACTTATTCTGTTTAAAATAATAACTTGATAGTATGTCTAGATATGGAGGTATTGTAGATAATTTGTTAGCAGACTATTTATTTTTAGAGTTTTTTTATATTCTTTTAAATTTTTCTTACTCTTCGACGGCTTGTGATAAATTGACAGTACCATTATTATATATAGATATGTCAAGGTTTAAAATATGAACTTGATAGTATGTCTAGTTATGGAGGTATTGTAGATAATTTGTTAGCAGACTATTTATGTTTAGAGTTTTTTTATATTCTTTTAATTTTTTTTTACTCTTTGACGACTTGCGATAAATTGACAGTACCATTATTATATATAGATATATCAAGACTTATTGTGTTTAAAATATGAACTTGATAGTATGTCTAGTTATGGAGGTATTGTTAGCAGACTTTTTATTTTTGGAGTTTTTATATTCTTTTAATTTTTTCCACTCTTTGACGGCTTGCGATGAATTGACAGTACCACTATTATATATAAGTATGTCAAGCCTTATTCTGTTTAAAATATGAATTTGATAGTATGTCTAGTTATGGAGGTATTGTAGATAATTTGTTAGCAGACTATTTATGTTTAGAGTTTTTTTATATTCTTTAAATTTTTTCTTACTCTTTGACGGCTTGCGATAAATTGACAGTACCATTATTATATATAGATATGTCAAGACTTATTGTGTTTAAAATATGAACTTGATAGTATGTCTAGTTATGGAGGTATTGTTAGCAGACTATTTATTTTTAGAGTTTTTTATATTCTTTTAAATTTTTCTTACTCTTTGACGGCTTGCGATAAATTGACAGTACCATTATTATATATAGATATGTCAAGACTGATTGTGTTTAAAATATGAACTTGATAGTATGTCTAGTTATGGAGGTATTGTTAGCAGACTTTTTATTTTTAGAGTTTTTTATATTCTTTTAATTTTTCCCACTCTTTGACGGCTTGCGATGAATTGACAGTACCACTATTATATATAAGTATGTCAAGACTTATTCTGTTTAAAATATGAACTTGATAGTATGTCTAGTTATGGGGGTATTGTAGATAATTTGTTAGCAGACTATTTATGTTTAGAGTTTTTTTTATATTCTTTTAATTTTTTCTTACTCTTTGACGGCTTGCGATAAATTGACAGTACCATTATTATATATAGATATGTCAAGACTTATTGTGTTTAAAATATGAACTTGATAGTATGTCTAGTTATGGAGGTATTGTTAGCAGACTTTTTATTTTTAGAGTTTTTTATATTCTTTTAATTTTTTCCACTCTTTGACGGCTTGCGATGAATTGACAGTAACACTATTATATATAGATATGTCAAGACTTATTCTGTTTAAAATATTAACTTGATAGTATGTCTAGATATGGAGGTATTGTAGATAATTTGTTAGCAGACTATTTATTTTTAGAGTTTTTTTATATTCTTTTAAATTTTTCTTACTCTTCGACGGCTTGCGATAAATTGACAGTACCATTATTATATATAGATATGTCAAGACTTATTGTGTTTAAAATATGAACTTGATAGTATGTCTAGTTATGGAGGTATTGTTAGCAGACTTTATTTTTGGAGTTTTTATATTCTTTTAATTTTTTCCACTCTTTGACGGCTTGCGATGAATTGACAGTACCACTATTATATATAGATACGTCAAGACTTATTCTGTTTAGAATATGAACTTGATAGTATGTCTAGTTATGGAGGTATTGTAGATAATTTGTTAGCAGACTATTTATTTTTAGAGTTTTTTTATATTCTTTTAAATTTTTCTTACTCTTTGACGGCTTGCGATAAATTGACAGTACTATTATTATATATAGATATGTCAAGACTAATTGTGTTTAAAATATGAACTTGATAGTATGTCTAGTTATGGAGGTATTGTAGATAATTTGTTAGCAGACTATTTATTTTTAGAGTTTTTTTTATATTCTTTTAATTTTTTCTTACTCTTTGACGGCTTGCGATAAATTTACAGTACCATTATTATATATAGATATTTTAATACTTATTGTGTTTAAAATATGAACTTGATAGTATGTCTAGTTATGGAGCTATTGTAGATAATTTGTTAGCAGACTATTTATTTTTAGAGTTTTTTTATGTTCTTTTGATTTTTTCTCACTCTTTGACGGCTTGCGATAAAATGACAGTACCACTATTATATATAAGTATGTCAAGACTTATTCTGTTTAAAATATGAACTTGATAGTATGTCTAATTATGGAGCTATTGTAGATAATTTGTTAGCAGCCTATTTATTTTTAGAGTTTTTTTATATTTGATTTAATTTTTTCCTACTCTGTGGCGGCTTGCGATGAATAAGTACTACTGTTACATATGGTTATGTATAGGCTTATTCTTTTCAAGGTATGAACTTGATAGTATGTCTAGTTATGGAGTTTCTGTAGATAGTTTGTTGGCAGACGTTTTATTTTCACAGTTTTTTTTTATATTCTTTTCATTTTTTCACACTTTTTGACGGCTTGCGAAACATTGACAGTAACTTGTTTTAGTGAGGCTTATAAATAGATTAAATTGTGTTAAAATATCAACTTGATAGTATGTCTTGTTTTGGACTTATTTAAGATTCTTTGTTGGTTGCGATATATCAAAATATTAAAAAGACCAATTTTTCATTTCTCTTGAATACAAATATTCTTAAATCTGACTTAATATCTATTTTATGGTTTATATATTTTTTTAATGTTCTTACTTCTACTTTTGGTTTAATAATTACCGCATAATTTATTTAATTAAATTTATTAACCTGGAACCGACGCCACTGTTCATTCGGGTTCCTTCGCCATTTTGGCTGCCAAGTTTGGTCTGCTAACTTCACACCAGTCATATAATTAACCGAAACAATCTGATGAACGCTTGATCAGAAAGTCTGAAAGGATCTATCCTGTCATCATAAACTCTTCGAGGATGATTATTGGCATCTTCTAATTCGTAATAAGATATTTAAAAAAATGATATTTGCCATCATACCTATAGGTCACAATCAATTTATGAAACAAAACAAAAACACTGCAATATTAAAACTTGCATTCAATTAGACCTTCGCAAGATCTTTGGACCTTCGCATTTGAATGCGAAAAGCAAAAACCCACTCGCTGTCAAATGCGTACCCGCAATATAAATTCGAACGACCAAGAATAGCTACAACACGCTTTTGAGCAAATACGCATTCGCATTTGGTAAATGCGCATTCGCATTGATTAAAGCACCTTTTAGGTTATGTTAGGTTAGGTTAGGTTAGGTTAGGTTAGGTTAGGTTAGGTTAGGTTAGGTTAGGTTAGGTTAGGTTAGGTTAGGTTAGATTAGGTTAGGTTAGGTTAGGTTAGGTTAGGTTAGGTTAGGTTAGGTTAGGTTAGGTTAGGTTAGGTTAGGTTAGGTTAGGTTAGGTTAGGTTAGGTTAGGTTAGGTTAGGTTAGGTTAGGTTAGGTTAGGTTAGGTTAGGTTAGGTTAGGTTAGGTTAGGTTAGGTTAGGTTAGGTTAGGTTAGGTTAGGTTAGGTTAGGTTAGGTTAGGTTAGGTTAGGTTAGGTTACGTTACGTTACGTTACGTTACGTTACGTTACGTTACGTTACGTTACGTTACGTTACGTTACGTTACGTTAGGTTAGGTTAGGTTAGGTTAGGTTAGGTTAGGTTAGGTTAGGTTAGGTTAGGTTAGGTTAGGTTAGGTTAGGTTAGGTTAGGTTAGGTTAGGTTAGGTTAGGTTAGGTTAGGTTAGGTTAGGTTAGGTTAGGTTAGGTTAGGTTAGGTTAGGTTAGGTTAGGTTAGGTTAGGTTAGGTTAGGTTAGGTTAGGTTAGGTTAGGTTAGGTTAGGTTAGGTTAGGTTAGGTTAGGTTAGGTTAGGTTAGGTTAGGTTAGGTTAGGTTAGGTTAGGTTAGGTTAGGTTAGGTTAGGTTAGGTTAGGTTAGGTTAGGTTAGGTTAGGTTAGGTTAGGTTAGGTTAGGTTAGGTTAGGTTAGGTTAGGTTAGGTTAGGTTAGGTTAGGTTAGGTTAGGTTAGGTTAGGTTAGGTTAGGTTAGGTTAGGTTAGGTTAGGTTAGGTTAGGTTAGGTTAGGTTAGGTTAGGTTAGGTTAGGTTAGGTTAGGTTAGGTTAGGTTAGGTTAGGTTAGGTTAGGTTAGGTTAAGGTTAGGTTAGGTTAGGTTAGGTTAGGTTAGAAATGTAAAATTAAACTTGAGACGAAACAAATATTTAACGTTTTTTTGTCCTTTTATTGTTTATAAATTATACATATTTGAGACAAATTTAATTAGCTCTTTAAATATCATATCAATAAACTCTATATGCACTTTAAAGCATAAATGACCAATACTTTAAAGTTTTCAGGCATAAATAAATCTAAAAATATTTTTGGTGTTTTTAGAAACTTTTAAAATCACTCTATTTTAAATTTAAAACCTAAATATTTAAATAAACTGAATTCTAATAATAATTTTAATAAAACTATTATAGTTTTTAAAAATTTACAGAACAAACTTCAAAACCTGTAATCGTAACAGTACCGGCGCTGGTGAATAAGGGAGAAAATGTTCTATTGAAATGTCGGTATAAGTTGAGAGGGTCAGAAATCGGTAGCGTTAAATGGTTCAAAGGAAATAGAGAGTTTTTCAGCTACACAGTTGACGAAGAACCCACGATAACTCCTATTGATGGAGTTGACGTTCAAGACTTGATAACGGATGATGTACGCATTTCAGTTGAGTCGTGTTGATATATACTTTTGACATTTTTTTATTTTTAGGAATACAGAAGTTTCGTCTCGACAATATTACTAAAGCAAGTTAATTTTGATACAGCTGGTAAATACAGGTGTACCGTCACACCAGATGGAGGCCATTTACAATTCAGTGATTCTGGTATCCTTTCTGTACTCCGTAAGTAATTGGAGAAAACAATCAACTCGTTAACATAATCAAATTCAGTGGCATTTTTTAAATTAAGACGCTCTGTTTTCATGTTTAAGCGGTAAATGATAGTTCGACACTCTAAATGTTTGTCCGTTGATTTGTTTCTGTGTAATGGCGGTTTTACACTAAACAGACGAAACAAAAACAAAAAACACACTCGTGTCGCTGCAACTTTTCCCAAACTTTTTGAAGACTGGCGTGTTCTGCGATAATTGGAGTTTTGTTTCCTCGGAAGCGGTAACATCAAAAGGTTTTGACGTGTTTTAAAACTTAAGTCTGTTTATTGGAAACGGTCGTGTTGTGAAGTCTTAACGCCAAATCTAAAAATCGCCACGCTCATTCACAATTTGAACCTTGTCCTTGCTTACGGTCAGTAGCGTAACGACTAGATCATTGTTTGTTTCTTGTTTCTGTGTTTTGGTTAACGTGACTGGTTTTATTTTTGATAATGTCTTCTATTGTGGATGAAAAAAAGCGCAGATCTGTTATTAATGGACAAAGTCGTGAAGTAATATACAATGTTTTTAAATATTTTGACGCAACAATAAAGGAAGGTGTTACTTTAGATGATATCTGTGGTGTACGGGGGTGTGTAATTAAACGAGAGGGGTGGTATCACTAACTTGTATTACAAATGCAAGTATCTAACATATATGACAGACTTTATGAAGAGTAACTTTGAGTCGATCTCCGGATAGGTACGCGCATCTTCGTTGCTTCTTGCAGACTGCTTTTCTGCGCTTGTCTTCACGTCATGTGTATGACGTCAGCATCCTGTCAGCTTAATCTGCGCACTGTTGCTTAAGCCCACTTCACACCCCCATTCCTAGTTTTTACATTAAAACACTTTACAAAATATAGTATACATCAGGTAATTATGCACATTAAAATAAACCATACACGGTTACAATTACAATAAATATACAGTGACACTTGTTTTCTACTTCAAAACAATGAACACACAACATTATAAAATTCTTGTACAATCAATCAAAACCTATAATACAATAGATTTACATGTGAAACTTGTTTTTTTACTTTAAAACAATAAAGACACAACATGGGAGGGTGGATTAACCTGCCTTTTTGACCTCAGGTTCGTTAGCCTTTTGTCAGGTGTGCTAGACTTACAACTTACACTATTTACAATATCATTTTGCGTTTCTGTAACGCTACTGTTTGCGACTGGGTGGCAGTCATTTTCTATATTTTTGGATGGACTCTCAATTGTAATATTTTCATTAGAACTTGTGTCTTCTGACAGAGCTTCGTCCGCACTTGATGAAGCTTTATCATAAGACACTGCCGAAATCTGTGAATTAGCTAGATCTTTATCTGAAAATGCTACCTTTGAAGGTTTGTTTACTCTGGTTGTCTTACCTATTACCCCCATTCCTAGATCCTGCCCTACATCTTTGGTGTATTTCATTATTTGGTTCTTGTGCCTTTTCCAAATATTTCCGGCTTCCAATTTACATAGAAAGGTGGATTTTCCGACTTTCTTCATAATTTTCGTTTTGGTCCAACCTGTTTTGTTAGGATTGCGATAATCTCTTACCATCACCAATTCTTCTGTTTCGAAATCTCGTTTAACTCCTCTATATTGTTGGATTTGCCTTTCTTGAGCCTTTTTCATGTTTTCTTTGGCCGTTTTCGTATTATCTGAAACTGGAGTTTCATCCATCTTATCCAATTTTCTTCTTTCTGTCATCTGTGACAGTCTGGTTCTTATTTTTCGATTAAACATCAATTCAGCTGGTGCGATATTTGTTGACTGATGTGGAGTTGTCCTAGAGTCTAGTAGAAATCTTGAAATTAGTGTTGCAGTAGAAACATTATGATTATTATCGTTTAAAAGTGTAAATATTTTGTTTTTAAATGTTTTTACTCCATTTTCTGCTAAACCATTGCTTTGTGGGTTATATGGAGGTGATGTAATGTGGGTAATACCATTTAGTTTCAAAAACATCTCAAATTGAGCACTTACAAGCTGACTTCCATTGTCACTCACTAAAGTCTTTGGTAACCCAAATCGTGCAAATATTTGCTGTAATTTTTCAATGGTTTCTTCAGTTTTTGTAGTTTTCATCTCTATTACCTCTAACCATTTTGAAAATGCGTCCACCACTACCATATACATTTTATTTTCAATTGGTCCACAAAAATCAACATGTATTCTATTCCAAGGGTCATTTTCTAGAGGCCATGGCGTCAGTTCAGATTTATGTGGAGCAGGTTTGTTTAACAGACATGGTTGACATGCTTTAACCATCTTTTCAATGTCTGAGTCAATGGATGGCCAGTATACAAAAGATCGAGTTTTGTTCTTCATTTTTACTATACCGAAATGCCCAGTATGTAATTCTTCAATTACTAATCGTCTAAGTGTGGCTGGGATGATAATCCTCAGTCCCCACCATAGTGTTCCTTATTCTACTATTAACTCTTGTTTCCTATTATAAAAATGACTCAAATCTTTATTTATATCAGTGGGCCACTGATTCTTTTTTAAACATGTTATAACAGTTTGCAAAATTTTATCCTTTTTAGTATGATCTCTAATAACATCATTGTTTATAGGCCATTCATTTACTTTGCTAGTAAAATAAAAGTAACTTACTTTGTTATCCTCTTCAGATTCTTCATCATCTGAAATTCTCGGTGCTCTGCTGTAATAATCAGCTATCGTGTTGTTTGTTCCTTTAATAAATTCAATTTTATACTTAAATCCTGCTAGATAAGCTGCCCAGCGCTGCAATCGATTCTCATACATCTTGGGAATTCCATTATGCTCTCCAAATAGCGATATCAATGGTTTATGATCCGTACGTAGGATAAAAAATCTACCTACTAAAAATTGAGAACATTTCTGCACTCCCCAGTAAACTGCTAGTCCTTCTCGATGTATGGTGCTGTATTTTACTTCTGCTGGTTGCAATGTTCGTGAAAAACATCCAATGGGTCTTTCACTCCCATCCGGCATGCGATGTGATAATACTGCTGCTATACCGTGTTCTGAGCTATCTGTAGTGAGAATTAAAGGTAACTCGGGGTTGAAATGCACTAATACGAGATCTGAAGCTATCATCTGCTTAATTTTTTTAAAAGCTTTTTCACAATCTTTGCTCCAATTAAAACAATTATCTTTTTTTAGTAAATTATAAATTGGCTTTACTATATTTGAGAAATTTGGTACATATTTACTATAAAAATTTATCATACCCAACAGTGAACGAGTTTCTGTTAAATTAGTAGGCCTAGGTGCCTCAACTATAGCTTTAATTTTGGTATTTGACTTACTTAACCCTTCTTTGGAAATTATGTGCCCTAAATATTCCAAACTATCTTTAAAGAATTCACATTTGTTTATTTTTAAAATTAACCCTGCATCCCTTAAAATAGTTAGAGCTTTTTCCAAATTTCTTAAATGATCAACTTTATCTTTACCACTTATTAGAATATCATCTAGATAAATACAAATAAAATCCATACCTTGGAAAATCTGTTCGATATGCTTTTGAAAAATGCCGCTTGCTGGTGAAATGCCATAAGGCATCCTATTTATGTGGAACAGGCCCTTATGTGTGCTCCAAGTCAGCAACTTACGTGCTTCGTCATCCAACAAGAATTGCATATATGCTGAACTTAAGTCCAATTTGGTGAAATGCTCCCCTCCATGAAGTTTTGCAAATAAATCTTCGATTCTTGGCAATGGATATACTTCTTCTACCAAAAACTTGTTCACAGTGCTCTTATAATCTCCGCAAATTCGGATATGTCCATCTTTCTTCAAAATGGGGACCAACGGTGTGGCAAACTCGCTGGTCGTTGCTGGTGAAAGAACTCCTTCTTTTATTAACTTTTCCAGCTCCTCCTCCATTGGTTTTTTATAGGCTAGTGGAATGGTTCTAGGTCTGAGGAAAATAGGTTTGACATCAGGTTTTAAATACAAAGAAACTTTTGAATATTTAAAAGTACCTAAACGATTACTAAAAACTTCAGGAAATTTGTCAATTAGTTTATCTATTTCCCCATTCAAATACTTAGGCTGCAAAACATTTACCATTTCTAGTTTTAAGTCATAAGCATTAATAAAATCTCTACCCAACAATTGAGGTCCTCCGTTATTAATTACATAAAATCTGATCGGTTTTACACAATTGTTAAAACATACATTTACCTTAAAATAACCAATTGGTGAAAAATCAGTGCCATTATAAGTTCTTAAGATTATATTATCTTTAAAAAGCGGATATTTAGCTTTAAATTCTTTTTCATAAATAACATTGTTTATACAAGATACAGTACTACCAGAATCAAAAAGAACATTAAATTGTTTATTATCTATCAAAATATTAAACATAAATGGGTTATGAACGTTTTTACACCCACTTTTATTCGCGATTTCATTATTGAACATCGATAACGAAACACTGTCACTTGCACTACTTGTTTCACTTATTGTTGTGAAAAATTGGTCTGGTACATACCTCTCATCATATTCTATGAAATTTACATTTCGTCTGGAACACATCCTTGCCAAGTGTTCTCTTGTTCCACATACCTTGCAGATATATTCTCTGTATTTACATTTTTTTGAAATATGAGAATTATTCCCGCAGACATGACATTTGGAATTTCTGGCATTTGAATTTGACATTTGACGTTCATTGATGCCAAAATGCCTCGCTGTATCCTTCCTGCTCTGTGATTGGCTCCATTTGGACTCCGTCTTCCTGCGATCCGAAAAGTTACGATCATTCACGAAGTTTAAGTCGCGCATGCTTTTTCCTCCGCCGTTGGTCGGATTCGAAATATACATGCCTTCTTTTTTACTAGCTAACTCTTTTAGCTTTTCGATGGAAACAGTGTCGTCTTCCTCACTTAAACGGTCAAACACTGGACCTCGTTTGAGCCCCGTCACAAACTTTTGTCTGATAAATACCTTTAAATTGGCTTCGAACTTG